TTCCCACACATACACTACGGCCAATTTAGTTCATTCAATTCACATATAGCGCATGTCTCTGGACTGTGGGGGGAACCGGAGCACCTGGAGGAAACCCACACGAACACGGGGAGAACATACAAACCAGCCGGGACTCAAACCAGCAACCGTTTTGCTGTGAGGCGACAGTGCTAACCACTGAGCCACTATGTCACCCGGCAGAAATTTGAAAACCTGGAATCTGAGGAACCAAAAAATACTGGGAAAATCAGCTTTAAAGTTAAATATGTAAAGCTTAGCAATGCACATAACCAAGAACACTAATATATACACACACACACACACACACATACACACACATATATATATATATATATATATATATATATATATATATATATATATATATATATATATATATATATATATATATATATATATATATAATTATTATTATTATTATTATTATTATTACTATATATATTTCTGGTGGCAAATTTATTAAATATATTCATGAAAGATGATTTTTACTTAAAATTCTAATGATTTTTTGGCATAAGAGAAAATATCTAGAATATTGAACTTGTAAAATGTATGAATGGCTAATGCTAATAACATACCTGTGCAGCAAAAGGCTGGTTTTAATGTTCAAGGTCTCATTTACTAAAGGAATTGAAGGTGAAATATTACAATTTTTATAAAAAAAATATACATTTTTTTGCACAAATATATGTTGTTTGCATTAACACAGCCCAATTGAATCACAAATATAACATTTAAAAAGACAAAAATGTCCATAAGGATGCACAAGGGTTACATCATGATACTGTCAATTTGTCTCATTAACACTCTGCGTTGCCAGTGCGCACAAAATGCCTGCATGTGAATACTTTGAAACTTCACACTTCAGGAGATAGGCTTGTTTCCCTGGTAACCGTTTTTTCCCCTTTTGTCCTTATGTGCCTACCAGTGCATAATGCTGCTCAGCACATGCACCTGCATTCAGAGCATGAGATGCTTTCTTCCTGCAAGCGAGCAGCGTTGGTTTTCAAAGCACTGATCTAGTTTTGAGCTCCAAGACATGCATCTCGGAGAAAATGCACAAATTAGGAGTTTTGCACAGATGCCATTTGAACACAGAGACTGCACTTACAGGCACGGATGCTCATGCAAGCGGGAAGAAGTCTCTCAGCCAAGCCACTTTATGTAATTACTTTTAAAATCTGGGTTTGAAACAAGGGACAAGTGATTGCATGATTGAAAATGTTGAAATATGAATGGAGGGCTTGCATAATTAATCATCGGTCCTCAAAATACAACTCGGAGCATTTGTGGTAACATTTAACTGCCTTGTGTTAGTCTTTATGGGTGGAAGGTAATGGTAAAAGAGGGTTAGATGAACATAAAGGTTCCAAATAGAGTAAAAACATATACAGTGATAAGAATTAATGAGTACACCCATTACAGATCTCTCTTTTAAATCAATATTTTCTATTGAATACCATACAACAAGATATTTGTGTATATGCATTAGATGTGTCAGTACCAAAAGCCAACAATGGAACTAATTTAACAAAATAACTTTAATGAATCAATACATTAGGAAAGTAATGTATAAAATTTAATAGCACAAAAGAAAAAAAACAGAACAGAACAGAAGTATGAAAAAATAGTTGAGTTAGTTTAATTTTTTTTTTTTTTTTACATTTAATCTGAATTAAAATGTATTATTTTTATATTCTTAACTGTTGTAATAAAATTGTAACTGTCTAATAAAACTGTTTTGTAAAAATGCACCCAAACATATAGCCTATATTCACTAAAGAAAGGATGAAACAATATTCATTTATAATGGAGGCGTACTCATTTATGCTGCGTACTGTACAAAAGTAAAATGTACACTCATTGGCCACTTTATTAGGTACACCTGTCCAACTGCTTGTTAACGCAAATTTCTAATCAGCCAATCCCATGAAAGCAACTCAATGCATAAAGGCATTTAGACATGGTCAAGATGATCTGCTGCTTATCAAACTGACCATCAGAATGCGGAAGAAAAGTAATTTACAGTAAGTGACTTTGAACATGGCATGGTTGTTGGTGCCATATGGGCTGGTCTGAGTATTTCAGAAACTGCTGATCTACTGGGATTTTCACACACAACCATCTCTAGGGTTTACAGAGAGTGGTCCGAAAAGGAGAAAATGTTTAGTGAGCGGCAGTTCTGTTTGCACAAATTCCTCAGAGGAGAATGGTAAGACTGGTTCGAGCTGATAGAAAGGCAACAGTAACTCACATAACCACTCGTCGCAACCGAGGTATGCAGAAGAGCATCTCTGAATGCACAACATGTCAAACCTTGAGGCAGATGTGTTACAGCAGCAGAAGACCACACCAGGTGTCACTCCTGTCAGCTTAGAACAGGAAACTGAGGCTACAATTTATACAGGCTCACCAAAATTGGACTATAGAAGATTAGAAAAACGCTGCCTGCTCTGATGAGTCTCGATTTCTGCTGCAACATCCGGATGGTAGGTTCAGAATTTGGTGTCAACAACATCAAAGCATGGATCCATCTTGCCTTGTATCAATGGTTCAGGCTGGTGGTGCTGGTGTAACTGTGTGGGGGATGTTTTCTTGACATACTTTGGGCCCATTAGTATCAACTGAGCATTGTGTCAATGCCACAGTCTACCTAAGTATTGTTGCTGACCATGTCTTTCCCTTTTTGACCACAGATATGTGTGATATAGCGTTCATACAACAGTTTGACGGCATAATTGTGTATATAAAAACAAAAAATCAAACATGGAGAGTCTCAAAAAGTTGTGTGAGGAACTACTTTCTTCCGCCTTGGATTCAAATCATAAGCTGACAGTTAAACAACTGAGCAAGCATATTTTAAACTTTAGATCTTTAGTGTCTGCTTTTTGCAGGTTGTATTTGGGCGGAGTAATACACATACAAAAAATAATAATAAAAATATTTTATTTTTGGTCACAACTGAAACAAATTGTTCATTTGCACCCAATAGCAAGTTGAGAACAATAAAATAACATGGATACTTCAATAATACATACATTACTTGACAAAAGTCTTGTCGCCTATTCAAGTTTTAGGAACAACAAATAATAACTTGTCTTCTAGTTGATCATTTGGTAACAGAAGTGGCTTATTTGAAAGAACCAGGTCTCTAGATTACGCTTATTTAACCAAATAAATATGATCATGCCTTGATTTTTCATTATTTAATTAAAACAGCAAAGTCTCACTGTGCTTAGACAAAAGTCTTGTCATTTAACAGAAATAATGTACAGTATAGAATATAAAGTCATGGTGCAGTGGAAAAATAATTAATATTGTGTATGACTCCCATGAGCTTGGAGGACTGCATCCATACATCTCTGCAAAGACTCAAATCACTTATTAATAAAGTCATCTGGAACGGCAAAGAAAGCGTTCTTGCAGGACTCCCAGAGTTCATCAAGATTCTTTGGATTCATCTTCAATGCCTCCTCCTTCATTTTACCCCTGACACGCTCAATAATGTTCATGTCTGGTGACTGGGCTGGCCAATCCTGGAACCCCTTTACTTTCTTTGCTTTCAGGAACTTTGATGAGGAGACTGAATTATGAGAAGGAGCACTATCCTGCTGAAGAATTTGCCCTCACCTGTGGTTTGTAACGTAATGGGCAGCACAAATGTCTTGATACCTCACGCTGTTAATGTTGCCATCCACTCTGCAGATCTCTTGCATGCCCCCATACTGAATTCAACCTCAAACCATCATTTTTCCTTTACCAAACATGACAGATATCTGACAGAATCTTGTGGCCATGTGGGTTCCAATAGGTCTTCTGCAGTATTTGTGATGATTGGAATGCAGCTCAACAGACGATTCATCTGAAAAATACCTTCTGCCACTTTTCCAAATGGTCTACTAGCAGTCAAGGTACTATTTGTTGCTCTTTCAACCAGGATCGACAACAAGACTTTTGTCAGGTAGTGTAAACAGATTTAGGCTAATTGGTGTTTAAAGTAACAATAGTTTGAAATCCCCAATTGTGAATAAACCAGTCAAAAATGGGCTCTGGTTTTTCACAAATCCGACATGTTTGAGACAGCAATAGGAGATGTCATTTTTTATAGTCCCTTTATGAGATTTTTCACACTTGACTTCATTTTTCAGAGAGGCAAACAACAACTCTGCTCATTAAAAGCATTCACGTGAAGTGAACACTTCCATGTACAGTAAGCAATGGTGTAAAATACAAATAAAACCCTTATTAGGCTTTTCAAACTCTCTCTCATATCTATATCTATCTATCTATCTATCTATGTATCTATCTATCTATCTATCTATCTATCTGTCTATTCTATCTATCTATCTATCTATATATATATATATATATATATATATATATATATATATATATATATATATATATATATATATATATATATATATATATATATATTATTTTTTTTTAAATGGGTAACACTTTACAACACGAAACACGTAGTTAATGTTGTTTTGTGTATTTGTTAATATGAAGAAACCATGACCAATACATCTTTGTTAACGTCAGTTATTGAAAATACAGTTGTTCATTGTTGGTTCATGTTAACTCACAGTACATTAATATTAACATGCACAGCGTTGGACTTCAATAATGCATTAGTAAATGTTAAACTATGATTAATAAATGCGGTACAAGCATTGTTCATTCTTAGCTCATGTTAGTAAATAGGCTACATTAACTACGTCTAGTGTTAACGAAGTGTTACCCGAAAATGCAATCGCTGGGGTTAATAGGCACATGAATAGACACGAAGCCAGCAAAACCATATGCTTTTGCCAGCCTGTTTGTTTCTAGAAAAACACGCAGTTCGTCTTTACTCTTAAAGAAAAAAACATTTTGGCTTCTTTCCTTTAATTTAACGCTTGGGTTGTTTGCGACACTGATGCGTTTAAATTCCAGCCGAACGCCGACGCGAAAAACTGGAGGAGGTGCGGGGGCGCGCGTAAAAGAGCGCGCACAGCTGTCAGCACCAAGGACAGCGCTCCGCCGCAGAACAACAGCCGACGGACGCGCAGAGAGGCGGACGATACGAGACGCATCACTGATTTCTGCTGCCAGGCTTCATGCACTATGCTACTTTCTTGCTCTGCCTGACTTGAGAGAGGGGGGAATTTGGATTTTCTCAGATGCCATCGCTTAAATGGCACCATGAACACATCGCCGCAGTGTGTGTGAATTTCGCACCTGGGATTGTTTTACACTTTCAATTGGCACACTGGACATTGCGTTCAATCTCCTCCGCAAGCGACTAGCTCGAGGGACTAAGAGGGGAGGACAGTGGGGGTCTCCGTGCGCTCTTCTGGCCCTACACACGATGCGTCTGCTTCTGCTGGCCGCGTTGTTCTCCTGCTCCTGCGTGCGGGGCGGCTGCGAGCCCAAGATTGTGAACATCGGGGCTGTCCTGAGCCAGAAGCGGTACGAGCAGGTGTTTAAAGATGCCGTCACCCAGGCGAACCAGGTGTACGGACGAGATAAATTCAAGTTGACAGCCATCTCTGTCACTCACAAAGCCAACGCGATTCAGATGGCGCTGTCTGTCTGCGAGGATCTCATTTCCAGTCAGGTGGGATTTTTTGTGGTATCGGTGTTGCGCTTCCATGTGGCCAGATCCAGTCTTAAATTACGCGAGTTGAAAGTTGCTCGAGGGGTAAACATGTTCATGCAATATGCACCATTCAGAATGAATTAATTTATATGGCTTTCACGAGGCAAGGTGAAATTAGTCATTAAGCTTTTTTAATAAAAAAAAAAAAAACAGTTAGATAAGTAAATATGCGCATTAGAAAGATGCACGGGTGACAGTTCATAATTTCTAAGCTCTTATTGCACTTTTAGAATGTTATAAATGCATGCAGGAACAATGTGTACCTTATTTGACCCTTAATTATGAATTTTGATAAATTATGCACTCAGATTGAATGTGAAATAGCCAATAATTTTCATGCCACACACAAGACAACTAAATCAAATGTCTCCTCATAAATATATATATATATATATATATATATATATATATATATATATATATATATATATATATATATATATATATATATATATATATATATATTGTTGTTGTTGTTATGTTATAAATTATAACATTTTTATTGTTGTTAAACTTTTTTACCACCATAACCAGACTCGTTTTGAGGGGTGTGCTATGGCAATTTAGAAAATAAAATGCTAAAAGCTATTAAATTAGCCATTCTACATATTGGGAGATGTTTCATGTCATTTTAGAAATTTAAAGCTGGAAAAGAAGATGATGGATAGATGGATGGATGGATGGATGGAAAGAAAGACGTTAGATAGATAAATAAACAGATAGATAGATGGATGGATGGATGGATGGATGGATGGATGGATGGATGGATGGATGGATGGATGGATGGATGGATAGATAGATAGATAGATAGATAGATAGATAGATAGATAGATAGATAGATAGATAGATAGATAGATAGATAGATAGATAGATGATAAACTTTAAAGGCAATTTTCTCAATATTTAGTTTTTTAAAACCCTTAGATAAATGATTGGAAAGATAGATATACAGATAGAAAGGATGGATGGATGGAAATATATATAAATTGATCATCACTCAGTTTTTATGAGTGATTTTGCCAGATGTAAAACAAGAACGCATTAAGCAGTGCAGTAGCAATATACCAAATATTGTTAAACTTTAACACCATAACCGGACTCATATTGAGGAGTGTGCTATGCCAATTTAGAAAAATAAAATGCTTAAGAATTATCAAATTAGCTATTTCTACATATTGAGAGGCATTTCATGTCATTTTTGAAAAATAAAGCTGAAAATATGAGTTTAAGATCAATTATATATATATTTTTTTTTTGATAGGAGTTTTATGTAATGTTATAAATATTTAACACTGAAAATAACAATTGAGACATTTCTACATATTGCAGTATGTCATATTCTATCTTAAAACATGCTGATTCAGTTATACATTGAAAAAAAACTATATTAGGTTTACTAATTTTGTTTGTAAGATAAGTTGTTGCAAACAATTTACATATAATTTTAAACATAATGTTGAACTTAATATGTTTGTTTAAATTCAGGCTATATAAATCGTTTACAACCATTTACCTTTAAAAAATTATAAATCTAAAGAATTGTTTTTTCAGTGTATTTGATCATATTTTTAAAAGAAAAAAACTGTAGATGTTGACACATATTTCAAAATATTTATAAATTGTAGTCTTGGACTTGTGCGCACTTACTTAAGCAGTCAAACTTGTTGGGTTGGATTGTGGCAGTACTAAAGCTGCATAATTTGTTTAGATGTCTATACAGGACAGCCTGTCAGTAGATGATCCATGCAGGTCGATAGACTCGCAGTGGGGGAAAAGGTTAACGTACTGTAACCGACCCTACAAAGCTTTGATGTGAGAAATGAGGGAGATGACGACACTGGCTGAGGGCAGCAGCTGCAAAATAAATTAGGTGACGCATGTAAAATCAATGGTTTTCAATGCAAGCAGTTTTGTATTTGCACAGTGTATTACTGTGCTCGGTGCAAATAAAGATGGGGGTGGACGGGTCAGCGTGGCATCGGTATTTGCAAAGATGTCTAGAGGGAGGATGCCTCAGCGAATGTTCACTATAAATAGACTGCAAAAAATACTAAAGTTCAGTCTAAATACTCACTGTAAAAAGTGAAAATTAGCAATTACATTTTCATTTTCTGACCCATAAAAAGGACTTTTAATGGTTTCACCTAAGGCAATCAAACTGATTCTCTCATTCTCCATAATATTTTTGGATGAATGAATGAATGGATGGATGGATGGATAGAACAGATGCAAAGAAAGACAATGGATGGAAGTATTAATGGATAGATGAATGGATGCATGGATGGATGGATGGATGGGTAAAACAGATGGAAAGAATGACAATGGATGGATGGATAAAGCAAATGGAAAGAATGACAATTGATGGATGGATAGATGAAAAACAACATAAATAGATAGGATGGATACAACAGATGGAAAGAAGGACGATGGATTGATGGAAAGAAAGACGACAAATAGACAAATAGACAAGATGGATAGAACAGATGGAAAAAAGACGATGGATGGATGGAAGGATGGATGGATGGATGGTTGGCTGTATAAAACAGATGAAAAGAAAAACGATGGATAGATGGTTTGATGGAAAAAAAGACGACAGATAGATAATTGGATGGGTAGAACAGATCGAAAGAAAGACGATAGATATAGATAGATTGGATGGATAGAACATGGAAAGAAGATAGATGGACAGACAGACAGACAGACAGACGGACGGACGGACGGACGGACGGACGGACAGACGGACAAATAGATAGATAGATAGATAGATAGATAGATAGATAGATAGATAGATAGATAGATAGATAGATAGATAGATAGATAGATAGATAGATAGATAGATAGATAGATAGATAGATAGATAGATAGATAGACAATAAATGGATGGGCGGATGGATGGAAATATATATAAATGATCTGCTCTTTATATAATTATCACTCAGTTTTTGTGAGTGTTTTGCCATGCTATAGCAGTCATGTAAAAAGAGAATGCATTAAGCAGGAAGTAGCAATGTCCTAGACAAAGTGTAAATGAGAGAGATTTTCACTACTGAATAACTACTGTCACACTCGTGGGAGTAATTCAGCCTGATGCGTTGCTTCATTAAAAGCCCGCACACGCAAAAATCACATTAAGTGGTTCCGCTTTAAGTGCTCTCTGGGCCGGTGATGTCATTACAAAAGTGCTGAGGTAGGAGTCTAACCCAGGGCTGGATACTGCACTGAACAAAAACTGGGCTGAACATGAATCACTCCTCCCGTCCTGTTCTCTCCATCCCGCTCATCGTCTCGCTAATATTGACACCATCCTCCCTAGTCATGCCAGTGGATGTCCTGCACTCAATTACGTACATACCTCCAACAAATCTGAGGCTCCAAGGTTACACAGCTAGTTAGCGGAATGTCAGGATAATTGCTGAATTAATTGCGTGGTTATGTGAGATTCTTCCATGCGAAACTCAGTCTGTAATGCCTTTGGCTCAGTGACGTTTCTGCCCACTCTGAAGAGGAGACTGTGTTGTGTGGCAGATGGAGTCAGTGCCGGAGGGTCACTCTGGAAACACTTCATGTTGCCAAACCTTTTCTCTATTGTTGTTTTTTTTTTCTACTTTTCAGTACAGCATATTTTTGAAAAACAAAACACTGACTGAATCATCCATCTATCTATATTTCTGTCTGTTCGTCCAAACTTTATTTTATCAGGAAAACCACAAAATTTATATATGTCCATCAACCCATCTATCCCTCGAATCATCTATCTGAGGGTTACCAAAAATCAATCAATCAATCTATCTATCTATCTATCTATCTATCTATCTATCTATCTATCTATCTATCTATCTATCTATCTATCTATCTATCTATCTATCTATCTATCTATCTATCTATCTATCTATCTATCTATCTATCTATCTATCTATCTATCTATCTATCTACCAAACCATCTCTTTCTTTCCATCCATCCATTTATCTTTCTTTCCTTCCTTTCTTCCATTTATCAAACCATCCGTCTTTCCTTCCTTCCATCCATTCATCCGTCTCTCTTTCCTCTTCCATTCTTCCATCCAAACCATCCATCCATTTATCTCTCCTTCCTTGCATCTGTCGAACCATCTCTTTCTTTCCATCCATCCAATCATCTGTCTCTCCTTCCTTTCTTCCATCCATCAAACCCTCCGTCTTTCCTTTCTTCCATCCATCCATCCATCCATTTGTCTCTCCTTCCTTCCTTCCTTCCTTCCTTCCTTTTATCCTTCAAACCATCTATCTTTTGCTCTTTCCATCCATTTATCGGTCTGTTGTTCCTTCCATTCAATCATTCGTCTTTCCTTCCTTCCATCCATTCATTCACCTGTCTCTCCTTTCTTCCTCTTCCGTTCTTCTATCCAAACCATCTCTTTCCTTCCATTCATCTCTCTGCTTCCTTCCTTCCATCCAAACCATCACTTTCTTTCCATCCATCCATTCATCTCTCTCCCTACTTACTTCCATCCATCAAACCATCTATCTTTCCTTCCTTCCATTCATCAAACAATCTGTCTTTCCTTCCTTCCAAGCATTCCTCGGTCTGTCCTTTCTTCCATTCAACCATCCATCTTTCCTTCCTTCCATCCATTCATCTGTCTTTCCTTCCTTCCTTCCTTCCTTCCTTCCTTCCTTCCTTCCTTCCTTCCTTCCTTCCATCCAACCATATGTCTTTCCTTCCACCAATCCATTCAACTGTCTCTCCTACTTTCCTTCCTTCCATCGTTTTGTCTGTCTATCCTTTTATCCATCTATTTATCTTTCCAATCATTTAAGAAAGGGGTTCCAAAAAATAAATGTGGAGAAAATTGCTATCTATGGTCTATCAACCATTTATGTACATTTTCCCTTTCATCTATGTCCATTCATGCACCTATCCATTCATCCATCCATGCATCCATCCATCCATCCATCCATATCCCTTCGTCTCTCCATGATCTGTCCGTTCCTCCATTCATCAATTAACAGCCAAACACCCTTCATCATCATCAATCAATCTGTGTGACTGTGAAGTGATTTAGTCAGAGGATGAGCTCAAACGCATGAGTCATACCTGTCACTCCGCCGTGACCCAGTACTGCTATTTAAAGCAGAGTATTGTGATTGTTTTCGGCAGGTGTACGCGATCCTGGTGAGCCATCCACCCCAGTCTAATGATCATCTGACGCCCACTCCGGTCTCCTACACCGCTGGCTTCTACCGCATCCCCGTCGTGGGGCTCACCACCAGGATGTCCATTTATTCAGACAAGGTGGGCTGTAATGACAGAAAAATCTAAAAATTATATTTAGATTAACATGTCTGCTAACATAAAATCTGGCGAAGCTGCAGCTTGATTAATTCCATGTACTAATTGTTAGGGTTTTAAGTGACTCTTTATTTCAGTGAAGAGAAATTACTAATTAAAATGTTGATTTTAACTCATTCAAAATGTGTATTCGGTAATGAAAACAAGTGACTCAGCAAAGACTTAACCAGATATATTAATTTTTAAAAATGTACTATTTTTATAATGTACTGTAGTTTCATCAATATGCAACATTAAAATATTTAGATATTTAAAGTAGACAATACTAAAAGCTGCCAAAACTGTTTATAACAAATAAAAAAAAACTACCCTAATTTTCACTACCCTAAAAATTTAATATTATGTCTCACACCTTTCTTCTTTTTCTCTTTACCCATCTTCCAGTAGCTAAAATGATAAATTAAATAATAAAAAGTCGTTTGAAAATTAAAAAGCCTGTGTTTTTATTATACTTCTGTGATATTTGCACTAAAATAAAATACTACAATAATATTTTTCCCCAAGGCCTCTTATTTTCCCCTCTACCCTTCTTCCATTACTTTTTAAATATATAAAAAAAGAACAAAAAAAAACGGGCTGTGAATAAAAAAAACACTGCTCTTTTTTATCTATAATTAAAAGGCTGACATACTTAAACTTGTCTCTAACCTTTCGTCTTTTTCTCTATCCCATTTCATATCCATACAAAACTGTATTTTATCTCATCTCCTACCTTTCTTCTGTTCGCTCAACCCTTCTTCCAACACTTAAAATTATTAATTAATAAAACCTAAACAAAAACCAATCATTTTTATTGTACGTTTTTGTTGTTTTACTTAAAAAAACGTTCATTTTTTAACTCAGTCCCACAATTTTAAAACATCTCCCACTTTTCTTCTTTTCCTCTATCCCCTTCTTTCAGCACCTAAAACGATTAATAAATTAATAAAACCTAAAAAAAAAAAAAAAAAATTTTATTGGACATATATGTTGTTTTTGTTACAAAGACTTTCATTTTTTTTAACTCAGTCCCACAATTTAAAAACATCTCCCACTTTTATTCTTTTTCTCCCTTCTTCCAGCATCTAAGATGATTAGTAAATTAATAAAACCTAAAAAAGCCAATCATTTTATTGTACATTTTTTTTGCTTTACTTAAAAAGACTCTCATTTTCTAACTCAGTTCCACAAATTTTAAAACATCTCCCAACTTTCTTCTATTCAACTATCCCCTTCTTCCTGCACCTAAAATTAAATTAATAAAACCTTAAAACGGCAACAATTTTTATTGTACATTTTTGTTGCTTTTTTTTCAAAAGACTTTTATTTTTTAACTGTCCCACAATTTGAAAACATCTCCCACCTTTCTTCTTTTTTTCTCTATCCCCTTCTTCCTGCACCCAAAAAGTCAATGTTTTTAATTGCACCTTTTTATTACTTAACTTTCTTTTATTCCTCTATCCCTTTCTTCCAACACTTAAAATGATTCATGAATTAATACAAATTTAAAAAGCCAATAATTTTTATTTGCACATTTTTTTGTTTTGCTTAAAAAGACTTTCATTATTTAACTCAGTCCCACAATTTTAAAACATCTGCCACCTTTCTTCTTTTCCTCTATCCCCTTCTTCCAGCACCTAAAATGATTAATGAATTAATAAAATTTTAAAACGACAATAGTTTTTATTGAACATTCTTGTTGTTTTACTTACAAAGACTTTCATTTTAACACAGTCCCACAATTTAAAACATATCCCACCTTTCTTCTCTTCCTCAATCCGATTCTTCCAACATGTAAATTTACTAATAAATAATTAAAACACAAATAATTTAACTGCACAATTCAGTAGTTTTAACTTAAGTTAGACCATCATTTTTTTTAACTCAGTCCCTCAAATTTTAAAACATCTCCCCACTCTTCTTCTCTTTCTCTACCGCCTTCTTCCAACACCTAAGATGATTAATAAATGAATAAAACTTAAAAATGTCAATAATGTTTATTGTACATTTTTTTTTAGTTTTAACTTAAAAAGATTGTAATTATTTAACTCCCACAATTTTAAAACATCTCCCACCTTTCTTCTTTTCCTCTATCCCCTTCCTCCAACACCTTTAATGAATAATAATTTGATAAAACCTAAAAAAGCCAATCATTGTATTGCACATTTTTGTTGTTTCACCTAAAAAGACTGCCATTTTTTTAAAACTCATTCCTACATTTTTAAAACATCTCACACCTTTCTTCTTTTTCTCCATCCCCTTCTTCCTGCACCTAAAAAGTCAATACGTTTTTAATTACACCTTTTTATAATTTAACTAAAATTTTAAAAGACTGCAGATTTTTTCATCCTCCACCTTTCTTCTTTCCCTCTATCTCCTTCTTCTAGCACCTAAAATGATTAATAAATAAATTAATAAAATCTAAAAAAAGGCAATAATTTTACTGCATTTTTTTTTTTTTGTTCATTCATTTATTTTATTTTCGGCTCAGTCCTTTTATTAATCTGGGGTCGCCACGCACATTTTTGTTATTTACTTAAAGACTTTCATTATTTAACTCAGTCCCACAATTTGAAAACTCCCACCTTTCTTCTTTTTTTCTCTATCCCATTCTTCCTGCAACTAAAAACTAATTACACCTTTTTATTACTTAACTAAAATAAAAAGACTGCAAATTTATCTTAAGCAATAAAAATACTGACTTTTTTGGATGCAAGAAAGAGGGGATAGAGAAAAAAAGAATAAAAGGTGGATCTAAAATAAAAGGACTACAATTTTATCTAATCTCCTATCTTTCTTCTTTTCTCTCAACCCTTCTTCCAGAGCATTCACCTCTCGTTCTTGCGCACAGTGCCACCATATTCCCACCAGGCACACGTATGGTTCGACATGATGCGAGAGTTTCGCTGGAATCACATCATCCTAATAGTCAGTGATGACCACGAAGGCAGAGCAGCGCAGAAAAGACTAGAAACCCTTCTGGAGGAGAGAGAAACCAAGGTAAGACATTCCCAGTTCCATGTCTTTGTGCTTGTATGCAGGCGTGTGTGTGTGTATCAATCGCAAAGGTCTTCTATGTACGTAACTGTTTTACTTTTTTGTCATGTGATCACATCTCTCATGCCATGTTGTAAATGTTTGCTAACATTCTAAAACCAAAGGCGTCAGCCATGTCCGATGTGGTCTGATTCGACCTAATGTGCGTTATTTGCTCATTTCATGTTGCTTTCGACCATAGTCAAAAACTCCTGTGTCTATCCACAACAGGAGCAAAATGAAAACCTTAACCTGGGACGTTGCAAAGCATCAGTGACTGTTTCAACACACTTACACCACATAATCTGGTATTATTTGTAGTTTTGAGCTATACAGTGCCTATACATGTCTAATATTGCAACAATGGGTAAATATGAGCAGGGAAAGATTATTGGTACTGTAAATCTTTTGCCCAAGGTATTAAAAGATATATAAAGAGATATAAATTTTCAGTCAGAAAACAATAACTGCAACAAAAACCAATATCTTTGTTAAAATATATGCGGTACAATTATTAGGACCCCATGGTTTTTCTTGTTGCTCAAGCACTGACTGTGTATTTAATTACAATTAATGATAGCCTTTTTAAGTAAGATAATATTGATAAGATTACAAGAACAATGCAAAATGTGTTTGTTTCAAGTAGCAAACATTTTTGATCAGGAGACCACCAGGAACAACCCTGGAATTCATATGAGCACATTTTTGAAGTAAATTCCCATTGACATTATATACCTTTTACTACACTTGGGTGACTAGAAATAGAAAATTGTTCAAAAGTTTAAAAGTTTCTGGGTAATAAATAAGATGAGGTCAAAGGTCAAACACTTGCCTCTTAAAGGGACAGTTGACCCAAAAATGAAAATTAATTCCCCCTCATGTTATTTCAAACCCTTTTGAGTTTCTTTATTCTGTTGAACACAAAAAAGATATTGTAAAGAAAGCTGAAAACCTGTAACCACTCAATTCCATAGTAGGAAAATTAAATTCCATGGCAGTCACGTCACTGGTTACAGTTTTTAAGCATTCTACACAAAATCTTCTTTTGTGTTCAACAGAAGAAACTTTGAAACAAGTAAAGGATGAGTAAACAAAGACAGAATTTTTGGGTGAACTATCCCTTTAAGCAGTGTTTAATTTGAGGCAGATTTTTTCCGGATCCTGTTCCAGAAAATATCAGATATTTGATAGATATCAGTATTTTATTTAATTTATCCGGCATTAACTTGTGGGTCATGAATACCTGCATGTGTGTGTGTGTGAGAGAGAGAGAGAATGTGAATGAGTGCAAGCGAAGGCTGTGTGGATAGTATGTGTGCGCACACACATGAAGTGAAGTTACCGTGCGCACGTTAAAGCAAAAGTCACGTTTAACTATTGGCCATGAACAATATTTTCAACCAATCAGCTTTCTTACATTTACAGTCACTCTCATTGATTGGTGATTGTTTCGCAAGCAGTGAGCAGCGAAGATAAATAATGGCATAGTGGTCTACCTAAACAAAATTTGTATTTTCAAAATGACAAAGCAGGCAGTCAAGCATATTTACATTTTTTTAAAACCACGAGTAAATGTGATAATGAGCCTGATCAAAAGAGATCTCGAGAAAAAGGAACTGCGTTCCTGGATCAGGATAGCAGGAGACAGAAATTGGTGGTTCATTCCACTGTGGCGACCCCAGATTAATAAAGGGACTAAGCTGAAAAGAAAATTAATGAAAGAATGAACTTAAAATGTTGGTTTACTCAAAAATGAAAATATTGACATTAATTGCTCACCTTTATGTCATTTCAAACCCCTCAGCCCTTCATTCACCTTTGCGACACAAATTTAGATATTTTAGGTGAAATCTGAAAACTCCCTCATCCTCCATAGACTGCAAAGTTTTGACTCGTTCAAAGTTCAGAAAAATACAAAAAACTCCTCAAAACAGAATTTATGACTTTTGTCAACACAGGCTCATTGTGGATACGTACCACAATCTACATTTCTGGAGAGTGTGAATTATACAGCCAGAGGTACTTATGGCTGCATTTCGTCTTTAAAATGAACATCGGCCAGTCAGTCAGTCGACAGTTAGCTGGCCTGGGTTGCTGAGATGTATATTGCGCCCTCTGGTGGATTTATGCGAGAAGAGGATGCATGAGAGAAATTTGAGATCATTAAAAAGCTTACACAGCAGCCTCTGGAGGATTTTCAAAACAAAAACTGCAGGCAGACGAACCTCCACTTACGTATTTTGCTGTCCCCAGAAATGTAGACCTGGGTGCGTATCCGTAATGAGCCTTGGTTGACTTTAGTGGTTCAATCTGAATGTTATCAAGCTGTGAGAATAAGTTAGAATGCACACAAAACAAAAATAACAGCTTCGTTCAACAATTTCTTCTCCTCAGTGTCAGTATATTGCTCGCATTCATCCTTGCGGATAATCATGCGCAAAATTTTGTTTAAAACAAAGCACAGGCACATCTGAGGTAATACATTGACGAGCGCAAAACATGAATGTGCGCAATATACTGATACTGAAGAGAAGAAACAGTTGAATAAAGTCATTATTTTTCTTTTATGTGCACACAAAAGAACTATTGTAGCTTGATTATATTCTGATTGAACCACTGAAGGCATATGATCTGTTCTTAGGATGATTTTTGGTATTTTTCTGGACGAGTTGGGACTGTTGCTGTCTATGGAGGATGGGGGAGCTCTCCGATTTCACATAAAATATCATAATTTTTGTTCTGAAGATGAACGAATGTCTTAGGTGGTTGGTTAATTAATAACATCAGTTTCATTTTTAGCTTTTAGCTTCTTCAGATTTATTGTTAATATTTTGAGTGGAAGGTTGAAAGGTTAAACAACAAAAACAGCTTTTTTTGTTCATATTTACCAAGGGTGCAAATATTAGTGTATAGCACTGTATGTGTAACTCTTGCAATTGGCGAGTCTATTGTCAGTGTCTTGTGAAGTGGTTCAAAGCTGTGATTGTTTCAAATCAACAGTGGTGCATTATGGGAATTATGTTCTTGCTCGGTTTCCTTGGGGATGAAAACTAAATCACCATTCCACATCCCCCCTGCTCGGCGCTGAGGTAATTATTGTTGCCCTCATTGCAGCGAGAGATTATTAACAGTGAAACTATTTAGATAGGGTGTGAATTGAGCTACTTACCCACAGAGACTGTTTCAATGCAGACTGTTACACAACTGCTGTATTTTAATGTCTATCTCTCTTTCTATTATTATCAGGAGTATGATGCATGTTTTTTTTTCCATGGCCATTGTTCAAAAGGTGTCCTATAAGACAAAAAAGAAAACACTTAGCAAAAGTGGTAAACATATCTGACTATATAATCAAATTCCATATATAATTTATTAATGGCTCAATGACAAACAGCAAAAATAGACTATCATGCATTTTTATTATGATTTAAATAATACACAATGTCTAATAATCAATGTCCAGCTATAAAATAATTTGAAATCTATATTTTGCCACTATCTTTCAAACCTTTAACTCATTTGCAAGCAAGAAATCTTTACTTCAAAATAATTTGGTATAGTCACTTATTATTCTATACATTTGCATGTAACATGTATTTAATATGTTCTCTGTGTATATGCAGTCACCAAAACGAGACCCATATATAACTTGATTCTAAAGCAAGTGAAAATAGGCGATTTCTGCCATAAAGTTAAAACAAATACATACTTATTGTGTACAAATACGTTCATATAATTAGAATTGGAGCTCTTTCCCTCTTCAATGTAACTGTCGTTACTCTCTTTTGTTCTTATATGATTCTATGCTCATGGAAAGCATGATGTTAAATAAATAAATTTTCCTCGGCTGCAAAATGTGATGAAAACCTAGGCAAGATAAGTCATTAGTGAGAATGAGTCATAGTTATTCTCCATGAAATCGTTCTTGTTTATAGTAGTATGAAATTAAGTGTAATTAAGCTTTTGTGAAATTAAAATAATATTTCTTAGTACATTTTGTTATACTAACAGCTTTAGTTTGTAGTGATCATGTATGTTCTGGTTGAGAGTGGCCGTGCAAACTAGAGTGAATCTTAAAATTTTTATAAGACCATTAAAACGCCCACCCAGCATTCCCAGGAGAACATTATTTCAGATTTTTAAAGCAATACACACATTTGCACTTTATTAAATATAAGCTTTTGAAAGTAAAGAACATCTTTATATGGCCTTTCATGCTTAAGTTTTAAATTGCCACCCAAAACACAGAATGAGAGTTTCTTCAACCCAGCAGTCATTTTGTATCCTTGTCTGCCAGGCTCTCTTTTTTTCTTATTTAAAGCGTGACTTCTTTTTATAATTCAGAACATCAAGCTCCCTAGGCTTTCAGAAGAAATTATCAAAAATTGCGGTAAAACACTGAGGAAGATGCACCTTTATCTGTAATAGTAATGTGCACTTTTTAAGGTTAGATCAGGTACAAAGGTGTACCTTTGATCCCAGAAACAAGCTAAAAGCACACATTTTCCTCAGAGTACTTTTATCTTACATCTGGCTTCTGTTTAATTTATGTACAGAATTTTAGCTCCTGCACTTATGATATTTTCTGTAATTTTGTTCCCATTTGTCTTTAAATGACTACAAAAGATACACAAAACCAAATTCTTACTTAATACTTATTAAAAAATGCAGAACATATACAGTTGAAGTCAATATTATTAGCCCTCCTGAGTATTTTTTCTCAAAATTTATGTTCAACATAAATATTTTTTCAACACATTTCTAAAGATATTAGTTTTAATAACTAATCTGATTTATTTTATCTTTGTCATGATGACAGTACATAATATTTCACTAGATATTGTTGAAGATACTAGTATTCAGCTGTGACATTTAAAGACATTTAAAGGTTATCAAAGTTAGGCAAGTTAGAGTAATTAGGAAAGTCATTGTATAATGATGGTCTCTTCTGTGAACAATTGAAAAAAAGATTGATTAAGAGGGCTAAAAATATTGACCTTAAAATGTTTTTAAAAAAAATAATAACTACTTTTATTGTAGCTGAAATAAAACAAATACGTTTTTAAAATATTATGATAATTATAGTAAAAAAATTCCTTGCTCTGTTAAACATTATTTGTAAAATATATAAAAATGAAAAGAAAATTTTACAGGATGGCTGATAATTTTGACTATATATAAATAAAACATATATGTGACCATATAACATATGTGACCACAAAACCAGTAAACTCTATACAACACATGGTCAAAGATACTGCTTTTTATGTATCCCAAAAATGATAAGAATATTAAGAAAATATCATGTTCTGAAGATATTTTGTTAAATATCCTATAATGTAGATTTTAAATAGTGATATAGCATGCTAAGTACTTAATTTGGATAACTTTAAAGGTGTTTTTTTTTATATTTAGATTGTATTTGGAAGCCTTAGATTCATTTACTTTCATTTAACAAATATTTGTTGAAGTCAGAATTGTTAACCCCCCTGAATTATTAGCCCCCTGCTTATTTTCCCCCCAATTTCTGTTTAACGAAGAGATTTTTTCAACACATTTCTAAACATAATATTTTTAATAACTCATTTTTAATAACTGATTTATTTTATCTTTGCCATTATGACAGTAAATAATATTTTACCAGACATTTTTCAAGACACTTCTATACAGCTTAAAGTGACATTTAAAGGCTTAACTAGGTTCATTAGGTTAACTAGGCAGGTTAGGGTAATTAGGCAAGTTACTGAATAATGATGGTTTGTTCTTTAAACTATCAAAAAAATATATGGCTCAAAGGGGCTAATAATTTTGACAGTTCAATTTTTTTGATCAAAAACTGCTTTTATTCTAGCCAAAATAAAACAAATAAGACTTTCTCTTAAAAAAATATTACAGGACATACTGTGAAAATGTTCTTGCTCCGTTAAACATTATTTGGGCATCAATAAAAAAAAAGGGGGGGGGGGGAGGGGGGGGTGTCTAATAATTCTATATGACCAGAAAACCAGTAAAATCTATACAATACATGGGTCAAAGATACTGCTTTTCATGTATCGCAAAAATCATTAGAATTTTAAGAAAAGATCATGCTCTATGAAGATATTTTGTTAAATGGTTTGAGTTGCTTTAACCTATTGGGTTTTACAGTACTCAGTTGGTTTGTGCTCTCTTCATTTATTGGGTTTTACTGAGCTCAAATTGCTTTGTTTACTCAAATGGATTAAGTTCACAGTACTCATTTGGGTTAGTTTTTGAACTTAAATGGTTTGTTGCAATCGGTTTCCTCAAATAGTTTTCGGGTTTTACAGTGTAGTAATATGTACCCTGAACCACAAAACTAAAGTAAGATGCATGAGCAAATCTTTTGCAATAGCTAAAATACAATGTATTGGTCAAAATGATAGATTTTTCTCTTATGCCAAAAATCTAAGATTTTATCCAAGATCATCTTCCACGGAGATGATTTGCTTAAATATACAACCTAACTAATCTTTTCTTATCTAAACTAAACATACATTAATAGAGATTTGTTCAGGTTTCAGATGATGATTGATAAACCTCAAGCTGAAAAAAACTAACCCTTATGACTGTTTTGTGGTAGATACTGTATATAAATAAAACCAGATTGCTTAAATTACAATTGATTTTTCCTTGCTAGTATATTCTAATACGGTTCGGAAACAGAGTCTATATTTATGCACTGTGTGCCAAGGATCGTTTTCATATAGTCCTTCTACTATCAGTTTACAAGAGTGTTGGTTATAATGAGCTACTTCCAGAGCAGACACAGCGGGGTTCATGACTGCAGCTTGAGTTTGGTTAAAGAGGTGCTCAGGAAAGGCCAGTATGTATTCACCTTCCTAATTTCCTTTGAGGTGGCGCAATGAGCAAATGCCACGACACACATATAGGTCACGCATAATTTCAGAAGCATGAAATGAGAATCGCATGAGAGCACGTCTTGCCTATTGCAGTATTAGGGCAGTGTTGTGTGTCTGAGTGAGGAAGGTTTATTTATAACACTGCAAAATGGCACCGTTTGAGCCAGGGTTTCCCCCGAGGCCCCTGCCCTCGAAAATACAGCACAACTCAAGATGGTGCAGCAGAAAATGGTTGTTTTTGTGCCCCCGCAAATCACACTCAGCAAAATCTGCATTATTATTGAGTGATTTGTTTACTTGGCAGCCAGTCGCAGTGGTCTGTCATCTTTATTGAATTTGAAGTCATGTAGCATTAATAATTCAGTAGGCGTTCACACACTGCTGCAGGTATACTGATCTGTATTGATGAAAACACACCATTTGGTTGCTTAAAGGGTTAGTTTACCCCAAAATTACAATCCTGTCATCCTTTTCTTAATCCTCATGTTGTTCTTAACCCATATTTTTGCTCATTTTCGAGGGAAAATTTAAGATATCTGTTCCTTCATTAAAAGTTGATTGACCCAACAGTTTAAAATGTTCATAAAGAGATTAAAAAATTAATCTGTATGACTTGAACTGTTTAGTCCGAGTCTTCTGAACATATTTTATTGAGGTTTTTAGTCACATAAATGCTTATCAGCAAACAATGTTTGTGATTTACAGTTTCATATTTGGCCATGAAAGCTCAGCCATGCTTGCTTGACGAGTGAGAACCAGGTTAGTTCTTGTGTATAATGTGACACGTTTAATCTTCCACAAGAACAAATGAGATTTATAAGCAAGTATGGTTGCGCTTAAGCTTATAATTACTGGTCAATGTTTACGTCGAATAAAAAAAACAAAATTGAATACTTAGTTCAAGGATGTTCACAAATAATTTGAAATACATTTGGGTTGAATAGACTTTCAATGGAGGGACAGAAATCTTTCAGATTTTATTTAACAACTTCCTATTAAACAACAAATAAACTTGTGTTTGTAATACGAATCAATATCTTACAGGTTCAGAATGACATGAGTGTAAGAATTTTCACATATGAAATATTTTTAATGAAATCTGAAATTTTTATGTTCCTCTATTAAAAAACCCAAAACATCTATGAAGTTAATGTGAATTTAGTGGTTTATTCTGGGTATTAAGAGACACCATTGAGCTGATGAGCTTCCAAAAGAACCAGTGAGGTTTACGATCATGTCCCCTCTAAAGACTTGGATCAAACCGTCTGATTTACTTTTGATCGCTGCATGAATACACTTTCAATGGAGGGACAAAATCTCAGATTTTATTTTATAATAAACCTTAAATTTTGGGATGAACTAAGAATGAATGTGTAATGTTAGCATTTTACTATCCATGTATGCCAGATAGTCTTTGATGTTTTTTGCAAGTCCCAGTGTTAGGGCTTCAAATTTGGAGCAGAAAAGTGAAAATTTGTTGGTTGCTTTACTGCCCATCATTTTCAGCTGTTTATAATATTCTTCTGTGTCTGCATATTTTCTCTGTGCACATTACTCATCAGAATAAAAAAAGGAACTATGAAAACCAAGACCAACTGTCCTATGACAACAAGAGAGGACCTAAGGTATATTTGCATGGTCAATGCACGCCGCCCTCCAAAATCTCTAAACGTAGCTACTAGAACCAGCCCAACCAATCACCGGCCAACCCAGAAATGCCCTTCTCTTGGTAGCACGTGTTTCTTTTTACGTTGAGACGTTACTTTTCCCTTTTTTCATGATTTAAGTGAAGAATGGATTTATTTTGAACGATTATTATTTCCGTTTAAAAAAAAAAAAAAAGTTGAAAACGCTCCGCTTCTTTCATTACCATTTTTTCCTTTTTAATAAAGGATGATGCATGATTCAGATTAAAAAAAAAAAAAAAGCAAGCCCATTCCTTTGTGGAGATCCGAAAGTTTGGGACACTCTCTCTCAGATTCTACTTCCTATTGCAGCATCCCCTCGTTGCTCTTTTTTTCTCGACTCTTTTTCTTTGGGGAAATGGCGTTCTCTCACCTGTCACTCCCCTTTCCACCTATTTTTAATTTCCGGTTGCATCGGTCTCACTCCCCGAAACCGCTAACATGCACGTCCTTCTCTGAAGCCTTGATAACCCTCAGTTTGCATGCGACAATGCCGAATTTTTTTGATTTTCAAGCTTTTTTATTCTTTTATTTTTTCATTTTGAAGCAGTTTCCCTGGAACTCTATAATTTTCCCCCTTTTTCAGTCCTAGAAAAGAAAAAACAAACATCCAAACCAACCAAACCAAGTGCTAAATGAGGCAGCATGGTTCAGTTATGAAAGTTACTAGCATCTTTGACTGATTGTGTACCCCAATCTCAGGCCGAGAAAGTGCTTCAGTTCAACCAGGAGACTAACTTAACTGCCCTGCTCCTGGAGGCCAAAGAGTTGGAGGCCAGAGTGATCATTCTCTCTGCCAGGTAAGAGGTTTACTGCTAGGTTTTTCATATCAGCAGCCTGCCTAAATCTCTGCGGTTCACTCTTCTCTCTGTAATTACCTGCAAAAGAGTAATGAATCAAGATGAGTCATACGCATATTAATTATTCTTTTCACCCTGCTGAATAGACCAGCATATGTTGTGTTTTATATTCGTGAGCTTCTTAAAGCAATATTCTAGATAATAGAATTAAAAGTTTGACCACACAACTGTGTGCCAAGCATATTATAGTATACCAAAACTATTAAAATCAATTTATTTTTTATAATGACACTGAAATAAAATATTGAAACTAATCAAAATGGTCCATATTTTAATGTAAAAAAATAAGATTATATTTGTAACAAATAAACAGTCATTAATTAACATTTATTAAATGTCTTAAGATGCCAATAATCCATTAGCTAATATTATTTAATGCAACTTGAACTGTATCCACTGTATGAATGAAAACAAATATTGAAACAAATCAAAACAGTCCGTATGTTGATGTAAAAAATAAGGTCCTATTTTCTACAAATAAATAAACTCATTAATTAACATTTATCAAATGTATTATGATGCTAATAACCCATTAGCTAATATTATTTAATGCAACTTGGCTAACATGAACCAACTATCCACTCTGAATGAAAACAAACATTGAAACAAATCAAAACGGTCCATATTTTAATGTAAAAAAAAAATTCTATTTGTAACAAATAAATAAACTCATTAATTAACATGTATTGAGAATCCTAATAATACATTGGCTAATATTATTTAATGCAACTTTGCTATCATGAGCTAACTGTATCTACCGTATGAATGAACTGCTGTTTTTCCTTAAACTGATTAATAAACACTGTTATTATGTATTACTCATTGTAAGATAACATTAGTTAATGCATTAATATTAATTAACCTTATTGTAAATAGTTACTAAAAACTAAATTGTAAATAATGCTGAAACCCCAAAAACATTTTAAATGTAAATTTTAATGTATTCAAAATGTTTAAATAGTAATTAAAAGTAACTACATAATCAGGTAATAAATAAGGTTTAATAAATTATTTAATTTGTTATAAAATCTGGAGCATCACATTTTATATTATGCAAAAACTTGCCCCATTTATTGTACTTACAATGCAAGTTCATCACTCCAAGGTTTCTTTTTTTAGCTAAATTTATAAGAAACCTATGAAATAACCAACTTATCGATTAAGACTTTTAAAATTTAAAGGTTATTTTTAATAATTTTGGTAGTACCAGTAATAAACCAGCTGGCCTTTTCAGCAGGATAGGCCTTAGACAGCTCTGAAATAAATGACACCAAAAAAGTCTCAACAATGGGTTTACAAAACAATTTCATACATCAGTGAGCTTCTCATATTCCAGTCAGCTGTTGTAAACCTGTCTGTCTGCCTTTAGCGAGGAAGATGCAGCCGCCGTGTACAAAACAGCACGCTTCCTCAACATGACAGGCTCAGGCTATGTTTGGCTGGTCGGGGAGCGTGAGATGTCCGGTAAAGCTTTGAGCGAGGCCCCTGATGGTACGTACGCCCACTTTAGTACAACTGAGACAGAAGCAGAGGAAGAAAAGAACCCATTTGTCTCAGCTAACTTGAAAAGTGGGGCGATTTTAATGATGAAGTCAAAAGTGGATGTTTGTGTGTGTGTGTGTGTGTGTGTGTACGAATAAACCGTTTAAACATTTAAGCACTTTATGTGTTTAAAGGTTTTAAACGAGTCACTTTAGATTACACCGTAATCGTTGTATTCTCTGGTTCACTTACAAGATTAATTACAACAGTGAACCCAATGTTGACCTCTATAGGTTTAATTAAGAAGTTCACATGAAGAGGTTTTTGGTTGAACATGTATGAGTGTTAATTCAAAGAGTGTGGTTTTATCATATTATGTTTATTATATTAATAGTTTGGTTTTCGTGAATTTAAAAAGGGTGTTTTTCAACCCTGCCTTTGACGTGGTATTGGTAAGCTACAAATGGCCTTTTATGTGCACTGCACTAGTTGCACTTTATGTTCTTCACACAACTGTCATTGTTGCTCCCAACACACTTGCTCACCTTTTATCCTTTTATGTGGAGTCTTCAGTGTAAACTTTCTTCAAACCCTGCTCCAACAACAAAAAACTCAGCTGAAGTTGGATTTATGTATGAAGTATACCTGAATTCTGATATATTTCATCAATATGTGTGTTAGTTGGTGTTTCACCAATTGGAAATGACTTACCACAGTTTGGGCATAGGTGGCACTTGTGTGCTCCATTAAATCCAACCTCAGGGGTCCCAGCCTGCATTTTGGGCAAAATGCATCAGGCTGTATGCCTGTGAAGAACAGAAGCATTTAATTTCCATGCTTATTCTGATTGGCTAAAGCTATCAGTTGGGAACAATTTGACAAAACATGATCTGATGTCTGATTTGAGAATCACTTACCCATGATGGCTCAAAGGGCGACCCTATGGGTTTTTTCGTGTTGGAAAGGGCTCCAAAAAGTCAAGGGTGAACATCTCACTGCTTCCTTTCTAACATCAACACCTAGGGCTGATTGGCCTCCAGCTCATCAACGGCAAGAATGAGTCGGCACACATCAGCGATGCTGTTGCTGTTGTAGCCCAGTCCATCCAAGAGCTCTTCGAGAAAGAAAACATCACAGAACCTCCAAGGGGTTGCGTTGGCAATACTAACATCTGGAAGACTGGTCCACTCTTTAAAAGGCCAGTACTAGCAAAGATTATGCATGCAGCTGACCAGTTTCATTTAATTTTGTATGATTTGTTATCATTTTACTCAACATCTTGCTTGAGGGGGCATCCGTCTCATTCTTTGATGGGTTTTGACAACCACAGACAGATGTTCATAGTGATCTAAAAGCGCTGTCACAACACATGATATTTCGTCTATGCAATTTTTCATGCATCACATAGAAAAAAAAGTTACTCACAGGTCAATACTGGCTATGCTCTACAGAGTATTGATGTCTTCCAAGTACCCAGAGGGCCTAACAGGACGCGTTGAGTTCAATGATGACGGCGACAGAAAGTATGCTCATTACAGCATCCTCAACTACCAGAAGAGCAGACTGATTCAAGTTGGCATTTACAACGGAACACAAGTATGAGTCTTTTTTTTCGCAGTGTTTAATTTATAATTTGACGACATGGGTACTGAATTTTGCATTGCTTCCAGTGAGCCATACAAAAATACATTATATAGAAGAAAGAAACTTTCAAGGCGACAGAGGTATAGTTATAATCAAAGCCAACTGTGTAATGGCACTTTTGGAATCTAGGCAAATGTTTTCAGAGCACTGAACAAAGATTATAGCTATGCCTGTTAATCACCTCCTATAATTATCTGCTTCATCAGGTGGTGATGAATAAACAAAGGAAGATCATTTGGCCTGGCGGTGAAACAGAGAGACCGAGAGGATTCCAGATGTCTACTCGATTAAAGGTGCACGGTCCTTATTGTTTATCTAAATAATTAGGGTCATGAATTAGTTTAAGGAAATTACCAGAATGTCTTAAAGCTGAACAAAACCCTATCCATCTACTGTAGATAGTGACCATTCATCAGGAACCCTTTGTGTATGTGAAGCCAACTACGCTGGAAGGGACCTGCAAGGAAGAGTACACACCCAATGGAGTCTTAATTAAAAAGGTGATCTGCACTGGACCGAATGAGACCATCCCAGGTAACACATCAGGGACGTTTATATTGTCACTGTGCTTTTCTACATCCGCCGTCTGGAGATACATACATACATATATATGCAGCAGGTATTTATATATGTATGAATGTAGCAAGTGACCAGCGTGACTCTGGCTGTGGGCATGTGTGTTGGGTGAAAGTCAATTTTGTGTGTATGTGTGTTGTAAGTGTGTGACTATTTCTGCTTGATTCTATACGTGGATGCATGTGCTGGATGTTTGCAAACTGTGTGTGTGTCGCTTGGGCTTCCATCGTAGCATTCTGCTTTGCGTATAGTGACAGCTGTGGGTGTGCCTTGTGTTGCCGCCTATATAAAATACAGGTAAAGTGTGAAAGTAAATATGGAAGGATTGTACTTCTTTTAGATGCTAATGCTCCACTCTAGCTGTTCATAACAAGAACTCATAACAGACAAGAAAATGCATCCATTCTGACCACAAGAGTTGTGGCTACAGTACAGTTCTTTAATTCAGCAAGTACTATAGATGAATTGAAAATTAATTCCCAAAGTTTTTTTTATATTTTATTCAGTTATCATTTGCAAATCTCTGACTGGGCGAGTAGAGAAAAGGCTAAATTAATTTGAAATGGAATTGGTGAGAACTTAGTGCTGACTAGCAGTTGAGAGCACTGCCATCTAAAATAGAAACATACAATCTGTAAAGGAGTGAATGATTTTAGTATTGGGTTGAGAGGAGAGTGAGTGATGGGCTTTCCAACTATAGAGTGTTCCACTTGCAACTTTATCAAGATGGAATGAAATTTCACTTTTTCTGGTTTGGTTACAGGACGCCCAATTGTACCCCAATGTTGCTACGGATTTTGCATTGACCTTCTGATCAAGTTGGCTTTAACTATGAACTTTACCTATGAAGTACACCTGGTGGCAGATGGAAAATTCGGGACGCAGGAAAGAGTAAGTATAATTTTACAGTGCGTGAAGTATAAGCAGCATGATTACCATATGAAAAATTCATAATTACTTTATATTTTCATTTTGTGATATAGGTTAATAACAGTAACAAGAAGGAGTGGAATGGTATGATGGGTGAGCTCCTGGGTGGCCTTGCTGACATGATCGTTGCTCCCTTGACGATCAACAATGAACGAGCCCAGTACATAGAATTTTCCAAGCCTTTCAAATACCAGGGACTCACTATCCTTGTGAAAAAGGTACGATTACACCACTTAAACTACCACATTCTATCATGACAGCACTGCCAAAAAGATCAGCATTGCTAGTATCTTTCAAAGGAGGTGCTGAGGCAATGAGCTTTGCTAAATATATGTAAGTGACCATGCAATGTGTGTTTCAGGAAATTCCTCGCAGTACGCTGGACTCGTTCATGCAGCCTTTTCAAAGCACCTTGTGGCTACTGGTGGGTCTGTCGGTACATGTGGTGGCGGTGATGCTTTACCTATTAGACCGGTTCAGGTACAACTTGACGTTGGGTTGAGAGCGATGCTAGCTTTTTCATGCGTGTTCATGGGGTGCCATCTTTGCATGTTTTTTGTTCTATTTAGATTTGTTTCACTCATCGGGATCATACAGTACCTTTCAGGATGTCTCAACAGTACAAGAGAGTGTTAAACATGTTACATTGTCAGTGTTGCCATTGAGCCTGTTCTTTTTTCTCTTACCTTCTGTCTTAACTTGCCATCCCTGTCTCTTTACTTTGCTTCTATGGCTGTTATTATTTTCTTAGTGCTGTTAGCAATCTAGCCAGTGCTATGAGACTTGAGGAATAGGTTTTTCATTAGGATGCTAGATCATACTTTTTAGGACTACTTACTGTAGTGGAGCTTTTTCTGATTATTTGCACTTTTTCCATCTGGTTTTCTCAGCCCATTTGGAAGGTTTAAAGTAAACAGCGAAGAAGAAGAAGAAGATGCCCTCACCTTATCTTCAGCTATGTGGTTTTCTTGGGGTGTCTTGTTGAACTCTGGAATTGGAGAAGGTGTTGACAAACTTTGTTTCTGATGATGTTCAAATTAAATCAGTTGACATTTGACACATATTTGACTACTTGCATGTTGTCTAGGTGCCCCACGTAGTTTTTCAGCAAGAATATTAGGAATGGTGTGGGCTGGCTTCGCTATGATTATAGTAGCATCCTATACTGCCAACCTGGCTGCCTTCCTAGTGTTGGACCGGCCTGAGGAGCGCATCACCGGCATCAACGACCCAAGGGTACGCTTCTCTTTGTACCTGAACCACCAAAGAAAAGGTTTTTAAGATTTATAAAACAAGTTTGCTTTTTTCAGCTGAGGAACCCATCAGACAAATTCATCTATGCCACAGTGAAGCAGAGTTCGGTGGATATTTACTTCCGGCGACAAGTTGAGCTGAGCACCATGTACCGCCACATGGAGAAGCACAACTACGAGAGCGCCGCTGAAGCCATCCAGGCCGTTCGGGACAAGTGAGTCCCTGTTGGGTAGACACTGGCAGGTCTGACCTTATGGTCTGTCAATCAGTCACTCGATCATAAGGGTCCTGGGCCTGCAGGTCTCAGGTAAATTAATCAGTGTCAGCACTTACTGCACTAACCTGTGACCCTGGCCCATAGCCCAGCACAGGAGAGGCCCAGCTATGTGCCACACATAACGTTTATTAACAATAAGCTAAAGAACACCTTTTTCAGGTTTTCAACAAAAACGTCTTTGAGGGAATCCAATGGGGGACAAAGCTCCACTCGTCCGGCATTGGATTTCATTTGCCTATGAGGTGGCAGTCTAGATTTCTGGTAACACAAGTTGCACAAGAGGGGTGGGTGGGTGGGCTTGTGGGTGGATGCCACGAGTGTGTTGTTTCTCACTGTACTGTTGCACCGTAACCCCCACCCTTCCCGTCCTCCTCCCTTCCCCCTGCCCCACAGCAAGCTGCATGCTTTCATCTGGGACTCTGCGGTGCTGGAGTTTGAAGCCTCGCAGAAGTGCGACCTGGTGACCACGGGAGAGCTGTTTTTCCGTTCGGGCTTTGGCATAGGCATGCGCAAGGACAGCCCCTGGAAACAGAATGTGTCCCTGGCTATTCTCAGGTCTGTCCCAGCCGAAGCAGCATTTTGTACGCTTTCGTAGTTTCATGTTGTATAAAATCTCATCATTTGGACACTTATTCATCTATCTCTGTGTACTTCCCCTCTCCCATCCCTGCTCTGTTGTCTGTGCTGGAACATATATGCGTTTGTGTTTGTGTATGTCCTTGTGGTTGTGGTGACTTTGTGGGATTAATCGGTACTTTCCAACGAAAGCAACTTATTAACTTTTTAACTTCTTTTCCTGCTCTCCACTACCCCTTGCAGTTCCCATGAGAATGGCTTCATGGAGGACCTAGATAAAACCTGGGTGAGATACCAGGAGTGTGACTCAAGGAGCAATGCCCCAGCCACACTCACCTTTGAGAATATGGCAGGTATGGTCCATTTCAGGTACAGAGTAACCTAAAAGAGATTGGACAAAAAAGGTACAGTAGGTAAGATATCGGGACCTTATTTTGTCCAATGCTTTTAGTTGTTTTTAGTTTAATGCTCACCTGTGTTGGTCTCCATAATTTTAACAAACTCATTAATCTTTAACATCCATCCATTTTGCATGGTTTTCAGCAGGTCTTAAATATATGGGCAATACATGTAGGATTCCATCACACAGAGGCTCCACCCTTTTCCAGCTCCTCAATGGGTTGATTCAAATAACATTGTAGTGTACTTCATCTGACGGTTTTATTCATCCCTCTCTTTCACAGGGGTCTTCATGCTAGTTGCTGGAGGCATTGCAGCAGGAATATTCCTCATCTTTATCGAGATTGCATATAAGCGCCATAAAGACGCCCGCAGGAAGCAGATGCAGCTAGCCTTTGCGGCCGTCAATGTCTGGAGGAAGAACCTACAGGTAAGGTAGTTCTCTTCTACAACACAACAGGTGACAAAAATGGTGGACATTAGGGAATGACCTTGAAAAGTTTTTACATAAAAGCCACTTGTTTTTCATACATACCTTTGCTAAAAAAAATATGGTCCTTGGTTGCACTGTTTGGTGTGGTGCCCATGGGTGGACGATCTTATTTCCATTGCCTGTTCCTAGGCTACTTAAAGGGCTCAGCTAAGCAGCCTTATTTAGGCTGGTTTTGGTTCAAACCGCCTCCTTTTTCTTGTCTGTCCCAACAGGACAATAAGGAAAGCTCAGGGAGTCAAGCTGTGGGTGCGGCTGGGACTCCATCTTTAGTATGTAAAACAAGCCGATTCATCTTATTGCCAAGTCATCCTTGCTACGCCAATCAATAGATTTAAAATAGCTTAAGATGCTTAGATATTCATCAAAATATGAAACTGCTTTCATGGCATGAATGCTTCAAACCACTTAGCATATTAAGTTTAGTTGAAATATCGATTTGTGAGGATGATGTAAGCTGCTGAATTAATGAATAATATAATATTATTAAAAGAATCAGTTCATGTTGATTAAAATACTGCTTGCATATGTCAAGCTATACTAAATATAACAGGAAGATAAATATAACAGAATAAAAAACAGGACAGAGCACTAATTGGAATTTTCGTCATTAGCATAAAATAGCATAAAAAAGTCCCAGCCTTAAACTTTAAAGAGTCTTTGTTAATACCACTAAAAACAGTAACATGATGTAAAACACTAGAAGCAAATATTTCAGGAAAGCACAAATCCATTTAAAACTTTTTTTTATAAACTCTCGCTCACCTGTGTGTCCTCTATTGGAAACTCCAGGGAGGTCTACGCAGTATGACTGTGATATTTGTTAAAAAGTGGACCAGTGGGGTGAGGGTTGGATAAAGTGAGGCTAAGAAAGCCTCAAGCTGCCTCTTTATTCAAAATGACAAAAGGTCAGAACTGCTGCAATAGTATAAACAGCAGTGACAGTGTAAGGTAAGATCACAGTGGCTTGTCTTTGTGAGCAGGTCAATCTACTGTCAATGTCTGTCATCTGTCTCACATGTATAATTGTCACTTTATGTATATGCATGTAGGCTCTTATGCCGAAAGGTCAAGCAAGCATAAACTATGGTCAACCAAAACAATTTGGAATCTAGAAGGTATTGTAGAAAAAGTCAACATTAGATTTAAATACAAAACTATCGCTACGCATATCAGTATGTTTTTGTCAGCTTTTCCTTTCTGCATAGGATTTTACACAACAGTTTGATGGCGATATCTATTTGAGCTTGCGTGTAATATTATAAATGTTTTGCGTGTGTACTTCTATGTTCATATTGAAATACTTCATTTGCACTTGTGTGTACTGCACTTTCATACAGGGAACTGCGTGTAACTTCACACACTGCACTTCTGAATAACCTGCCTGATTTGTAGTTTTGTTCATTGGACTGTTCTGTTATCCTCTTAAAAGCAGAGATGTCAAAAACATGCTGCCCGTATTACAGTGGTTAATGTTTGCTTCTTGGAGCAGAGTTTATTCAGACGTGCACTGCCGTCAGGAGAATGAAATAACAAAGGAGAAACACTAAAAAAGGATGATGCAGAACTAAATGAACTGTGAATGTGCTCTCGTGAGATACTATGTGGAGGCTTGCGGCCAATTTTGCTTCTCACTATGCCGATGGTCTACGTGGGTCCAGCATGCTGATACACAGACAGTCAATACACATCACAGCCAAACATGGCATTTTTTACCTTTGTGAAATGCATAAAATTAATACAGGAAAAGTTTGATTAGCAAAGTTCTTTATAAACAGCAAAGATATTGCGGTAAGTGCCAAAATGGTAAATTTATCATTGGTAGCAGGGGTCAACTGATACTGAGAAACTTTTAAAGGACCAAAACAAATGTAAAGATGATCTTAAGAGTCTTCCATCAGCCAACTGTATGCTTGTCCACATTTTGCTTACTTTATCCACACCCTTGCTCTTACTTCCCTCTGCATGAGTAAATGAAATTCACACCACACTTAACCCAAGTTATAAAACCCTGATGTGTGGTGTCAATTTCCGTTATACCCTACAAAAGTATAACGATCAAAAGGGGTTCATACAAGTAGTCATGTATTGATCAGTAGTATTTCATATCCTGTGCTCTTTTGGCATTTTATTGGTTGCTCTACTACCCTATAAGAGTGTTGTTGTTTTGTGATTCTACAGATTGCTTGGCTTTGATGTCATTATTTCCTCAGCAAGCTCATTTTGCTGCCTTCTGCTTTTGCTTATGGATCTTAAAGTCATATGATCTTTAAAGCAAGTGGTTAAATATTCATTTATTTTTCTTTTTTCCTCCCCAATGCAGCCCTCTTCCTCTGTAGAGACTCAGGATGTAAGAATACCTTAATTCGACCTTTTCCTACACAAACACACCCAGTCTTGCTATACCTTCGTACCATTTGTAGAGGCCAGAGAGTAGCCGTGTGGGGCACCTTTGATGGACGGTGGGAGGGAAGGGAGCAAAATGATCCAAATCTTCTTCTTCTGTGCCTAAAACCACAAAGTGTTAAGATCAAGCACTTATGAAACAGAAGAAATCAGATGCTTAGGAAGATCATTTGAGAACTTGAAAGTGCTGCCACTTCAGGCAACTAAATCCGTTGCACTCTACCAATTGCTAGTCAATTTTAGTCAAACTTTCAATCACATTTATAGATCGTTGGGTTTAAGATTAGCCTACAGTATCAACGGGGAACGAGGGGATGTGGTTTTGGCAGTTGAAAACCAGCCTGAGAACATGAATAATTGTTCTACGTATATTTATTTTAGGATAGGAAAAGTGGTAGAGCAGACAGCGACCCAAAAAAGAAACCTTCTTTTAGGTCCATCAGTACCACCCTGGCCTCCAGCATCAAGAGACGTAGGTCCTCCAAAGACACGGTAAGGAGGTTAAGGAATGGCATCTCTTTTTACTCGGCCGGTCTCTTCCTCTTTCTGCGTCTGTCATTCTCTCGTCCTATTCTTCCGCTCCTCTTTCTGTATCTACTTTCTTCTGTCTTAAATGACATGTCATGTCTGAAACCAAGAGAGCCGCATTTCTCTCTGGTTACTCCTCCATTCCTGGCATCGCGGCCACGGCCACGTGTCTGTCAGTCAGTCATCGAGTCACCATCAAGAACCCATCTTTAAGTTAGAACTTAAGAGCATAGCCATTCTTAAGAGTTAAGCTGAAAGGTTTTAGCTTCCAGTGATTTCAGAATCAGGGAAAAGGTTGTAACCAAAAGAGCTGTTCCAAGAGGAGGGGGCGCTGCACAATGCCTGATGTTTCTGGGCTGCTTCTCTCCCTATTGCAACCCTCTGGATGTGGAGTGTGTGTTATTGCGGGTGGACGTGTGTGCGTGTCTGCCTCTTTTTGTTGTTGTGCATATTTGTGTATTTCTCGTCTTCAAACCTGCCTGATGTGGACAGACAAATTTTGCGATGTTTCGTTTCCCCCGACGGCATGCTTTGGTGTTGTGGTGTTTGATCAGAGCAACCGATACCATGCGGACTAACTCTTTTTTTTTTTTGACAGCAGAAGTTCCCTGTCAGAATTTGGAATCATCAATTAACAATGACTTCCTTTTGTTCAATTCTTTAGATTGAGGTCCTATCAAAGTTTATTTCAAGGAACGAGAAATGAAAATGAAAATTCCGTCATCATTTACTCACCCTCATGTATGATTTTTTTTCTGCTGTGGAATGCAAAAGGAGATGTTTAGCGGAATGTCCATGCTGCTTTTACCATTCAATAATATCCTACAAGCTTTAAAAAGAATAAAAACAACATACAAGTATCATAAAGATATTCATTTATGTGCTATATTCCATGTCTTGTGATATAAATAAGCTAAAATGTAGAAAATTATAATGAAATTTTACATCTATGAAAGTTTTCTATGAATAACGACACAAAATTAAGTCTGATAATTAAAATTGTGTGGCTTTAGAAGATTTGGAATATAGCACCAACAACAAAATTATTATTATTATATAATTAGTCACAGCATAAGTTTGTTTTAGAATAATAAATAATTGTTTAATAATCAGATAAAATGACTGTGCTGCCTTGGTAGAAATATTTTAAGTTCTAAACGTGTGTTCATACTATAGGCATTTATACAAAATTCTTAAAATTCATAAATATTGATGGTGATTAGGGAACATTAATATCGTTTCCTACGGCACCAAATTAAATAATGTCTAAATCTATAAATATATATGTTTGTTTCTTTGTTTTTTACCCTATCCTCTGCATTATCTACTGTATAATTGTACATTTTGCTAATTGTTTGTTTAGGAATGTAACATTTCCCCCCCTTTTAAATGAGTAAGAGAATGGGAAAAGTGGGGTGGGCTGGTGAATGGTGAGCAATCCAAGTGGAAAAAGACAACCAAGTAACCATCCACAGTGTTTAATCATCTTTTTACTTTATGATATCAGTGTCGCCTCTCTTTCTATATAAGTGGATGTATATGGATATATAACTGTCGACGTCCCCTACATGATGTACATGCTACACAGCCTCTCTCTTCCTCTGCAAGCATGCAATATATCTGTCGTAGAAGTAGAGACCGTGTTTTGGATGCCTAAGTAGAAGTAGTTGCATTTTCTTTGTGGTAGAGATGATACACACACCTTTGATCTCTTTTGCTGATTCACTGTCTCTCACCAGGGGGCACTGTGGGCTTGATTTGGAAGTGCCAACAGCAAGCCTTCTAAGTGAACATAACAAGAACTCTCTCATGCTCTCTCAGGCGTGCTAAGGGCATTCTTGATGCAACACAATGAAGACAAAAAAAAAGCCTCCCGGTGTCATCAGGCGTATTGCTGAATACATTTATTCCGCAATATGACGATGATGATTTTTACAATGAGAACTTTTGCCCTAAGCTTTGGCTTTTAGAGTTGTTGCATCTTAATTTGAAGCTTATTTACAGGCAATGCCATAGCAATTTAAAAAACAGTAAGCTATAAAAGAGGACACATGCTATAATTAGTACGGTCGTTATTAAATGCATAATTATAATGCACAAGCATTATTATTTCGAGATTAAACATTCAAACATTGCATGTGTCCTTGGTTTTTGCAGAACTATTTTGCTATTCTTTATATTTTAAGCAACCTGAATCTCTTTGCTGCTGCTTTTCCATCAATATATCCATTTTGCTTTTAGAAAATGTCTTTAAAAACAAGTGTGTACATGTCAGAATGACTTTACATTTAGTCAGTCTTGATTAAGAGGAAAAAAAATCCTTTGCGTGTCACTTACAGCTTAACCAAAAAAGCTCTCTGTGCCTCAATCTCACAGTTTGCCACAGCAAGGAAAACAACGTAATAATGAAAAAACACTTTGCTTAATCACAATTTCCTTGCAGTTGCAACATTGCAAGCCTCACTGAGAGACATTTTATAGCTTACGAAAATAAAAACTGAAAGCAGAAAAAAATGTTTTGTTGTGGTAAATTGCCTTCTGACTGGGCAACTGCATGTCAGTGAGTGTTTTGCCAATCCAGCACTGCAGATGCCCATGTGAGAAAACAGCTTGTTGCCCTTCTAACACGTCTAAGCTTGGGATGAGGAAACAGGAACTGCAACTGAATGATACTTAAATATATATTTTAGCTATAAATAACGTCCCAAAAAAGTATTTAGACCTTTGAGTCGAATTTAAAAATGTACTCATGTCATTGCATTAGACAACGCGTCATTTTTGGGTTTTAAATTATAAATAGAACTGGCAAAACACTGGCAAAAAGCATCTGGATGCTGAATGTGATGAACAACAACAGTGTTTACTCTGCTAGAGTGCCAGTGTGAACGTGAGGGGGAACTGATACCAAACATCCACTAGAAGCCACACTGTGCCAAGTGGGTAAAAAGCAATTACAAAAATAGCTCGGAAAAGGTCACTGGTTAGCATCACTGAATGCAGATGCCACTTGGTTTTATGTTTCATTATGTAATGCAATGACATTCATATATTTTTAAATGTGTGTCGCAAGCGTCCAAATACATTGTGACTTTTAACCCAATTGATGCTGATATAAATATCATAACACATAGGTTATTAGGTGACCTAAATACCACCTTACAGCAGAGAACCTGCTTCCTCTTCTTCGAATATTATTCTAAACACCTCCTAAGGCAGCAAGATAGCTTAAAGAACACTAGTTTGAAAATGTTATAAACCTCCTTGGATATAATATAAAATTTAAATCTTGTGGTCACATCAAATTGGCCTAAAGGCGAAATTCAGGGAATGCATTATGGTGACGTGTGAAGCATTCAATGATTGACTTCTTGTTTTGAGTGCACGCTACGTGCTGCCTTGGGGGTGTAGAAGACGATTACGTTCATGACTTTGGGGAAGAATTATAGCAGTCGCACTAATGCTCTCTATCCTGTGTGTTTTCTACCTTCTTTCTCTATTTGCAGCAATACCCACCCACAGACATTACGGGCCAGCTCAACTTGTCGGACCCGTCTGTCAGCACGGTGGTGTGAGGGAGATAAAGAAGGAGAGTTTAACATAGAGACACGTTCATTCTTTAGAGAACAACAAGAGGAGCGATGTAGTACCTCTTCTCTAGGTTTTGCACAATGGATCCATCATGGACGAGAACTATTGAGCCATTTCACATTTACCAATGGGATCTGTTGGAAATTGATTGTGGACTGCAGGGGATGGCATGACACTGCAATGCACTGGAGCTCTGTGAACACACAGACCATATATACACATAAACACAGCTTGATGCTAAACTTAGTATATATCATCACATCATTCCATCCATCAGATCTTCTGTATAAATTCTTTACGATTATGTAGAAATATTTCTTACGAGTATTAGTGACTATTCCTATGTTTATTTAGTGGTTTAAGTATTGTACAGTATAATTTAGAATTAACAAACTAATGTTCAAAGCCGATTCTACGGCTGATATTTAACTAGATGTAGTATGTATACGATTAATTATATTCATTTACAAACATATTTAGATCTATTTTACTTCCTTTCGGTTTGTTTTTAATTCTTTGTCTATATAATCTATAAAGCAAAACGTCCGCCAATTAAGCACATTATTTGTGCTGTTTTAAATATCATAATTGTCTTTTATATTCTACCATCCCTCTGCATGTAACATGCATGCAAACTTGTCCCCCAAAAATGATTGAGAACAAAAATATATTGTGTACCCCTATACACATCACAGAAGAGAAAATTAGAAATGAGATGTGGCGTATTGCACATCGAACTCTCCTTCAAACTCCAGTTCTTCCTCTTTAAGCTTCTCAACTTCAGTCGGAAGGGTGCATCAAGGGGCCGAGTTTTTTCATCCAACTAGCACTTGGCGTCTCGTGCAGAATTATTTCTGTGTCATCATCATAGACGACCTCAGAGATTTTTTTGCATGAGAATCAAAAACCCAAGTGTGCCCCTTTATTTTCAATGATGGTGCTGCCTTTTTTGGATACACCTATTGGTTAGATGGCAAAACTGGCCCGTTCCCTAGTTCTGGGGTTGAGAACCATCAACAAATCAATACAAATAAGGACTACTTACTGTAAATGTCCACTTTAAGCTATTTATGTGACCAATGGAAACTCCCCTATAAGAGAGATCACCTACCTAGCACTTTAATGTGAATTGTTCAGAAGCTATATGCGTATGGAAATTATGCAATTTGCCAAATGTTGATTGTAATACTCGTACTTGATATGAAAATGCACATTTGAGAATGCGAAATGTGTTATATGTGTAACTGTCAGCTGTTCGATTTTAACAAATCACTCCTTTTGTAGTTTTCATATATCAATATGTTTAGACAGATTTGTTTCTGATATTCAAGCGTGAAACTGTGTCAAATACTTCTAGATATTCTCTGTTTACGACTATCCACTTTAGGTTTTAGCCTTTTCAAACTGACAGGTGTATGTAAGGTATGTTTTCTCATTGCTTGGGTCAATGAATGTGGTTTGTACTCCAGAAGAACAATGTATTATATCCGATTTCAGGGCATGTGAACGTTGAATTGAGTTTTTTGCTGACTGGACAACTAGATTGCCATATGATTTTAAGAAACTGTTGATAAAAAGGGAGTGTTTTTATGAGAAACTTTCACAATGTAAATGACACACAATCAGATAAACGCATATCCTGAGCAAAAGTCATATTTAAACAAGTGCAACATGTATGTTTCTGTTCATTTTAGATATTTCCTTAAACAAACACATAATGTTTGCATTTTGACAAAAATATATAGAATTAACATCTGTGTGCCAATAAATTTGTGCCATGTCAGTTGCAGACCACAACTTTCCGTGTTTATTTTCATTTTGTTTGAGAATTATGCTTGTATCGGATGCACATTGTGGTCAACATTTAAAGTGAATCAGAAAAGATTTAACAAAGGGTACAATAAAGGGTGTTTTTCAATATAGTTTAGGACAACTTTAATGAAAGGTGATGATCCACTTCAATTGTTGACCACATAAAGGCTACACATGTATATACACACATCACTTTTTATTTTGTCCATCCACTATCCATTTCCCAGAAGGTTTAATATTAGCTACAGATAGAGGTGGAGAAGCATAGATTAGTCAGGTGTCTACGTTATGGGGGCAGTGGTCAAAATGTGACTTGTTTACCTCGCAATATGATTTTGAAAGTATGAGGAAAACGCCTGACAGCCTATTTAAGAGGCGGTATCATTGGACAGAGAGTGCAGACTGTTCTTCTGCAAAACACTGACGTCTGTGACTGCAGGTGAGTTACTTCAGTCTCTGCTCCGCATAAACGATAACTCAATATGTCGACCTGTTTAAAACTGTTTAAATAACAGATACTATATCCAGTATACTTGGTGGCGTCATCTTACCAGTTCTTACGGGCTCTGTTTATTTTAGTTAATGAACGCAGGTGCAGCGATTCTCCTGTCCAAATGTGTTTTTCACCATATGTTGTTTTTCTCCAGCGTAAATACACTCAAAATGGAAAACTTTGCTGGCGAAAGACATTAGTATACTCTATTTTTTTTAGCGATGCTACATTTCACTTTAATAGTAGTTTGCGCCGAAACATGCTGCCATAGTAACGCGTCTGTCATAAATCTACCAACGCTGTCGCCAGTGTCGCAAAACAAGCTACCTAAAAACAAATTATGCAAAAGTGCGTTAAGATTCTTAAAGCGTTTTTCACGTTGTTTGAGCGAAGTTGCATGTTAACGTATGATTATGATACAATATTAAATGTAAAATGAGAGTGCTGTGGTCTGTTTGAAGAACAATTCTGAAAACCTGACAATATTATTCATGTTGGAAAACATGCATAACGTTTCATGTTAAGATGTAGGCTATAAGTGTACAACTTTACAGTGTAAACCAATATCTATCAATTGGCCTGTAGCATATTGCAGTTTGGTTAACTAATAACGTTTATTTTACATAAATAGAACGTTACCTTTAGGCTGGGAAAGATTAGCAGAATGTTCTTTTTTAGGTTGTTTTTAACAACATAGTTTATACAATGTAATATACCACAGTGTCCAGCTATACATGTGTGCATGTATTTCTTTAATATAGTAACAGTTTGTTGTTATTACTTCTTGTAGTCAGTATTGGAAATAGTAGTGAAAATACTCATGTAAAAGTATCATTATTTACCCAAAAATGTAGCGTGAGTAAAAGTATCTGTTGTAAATATTACTCAAAGTATGAGTAAAAGTAGCCTTTTTAAAAGTACTTTAGAGTAGTGAGTATTGCAGTATTATGCTGTAAAAAAGCTGATACGTTTACATGCAATTTGTGCAGAGATGTGTAAACTTAACATTCAAGTGCATTTGGTGATCGTATAAGGCCATTTGTCGATTTCAGTCATCATACAGTAAACATCCGCCATCTTATCAGTGACATGCAGTCTAAACAGTCTCTGGGTCACTGTGTGTAAAGATTTTGGACATCTTCCAAACGGTTTGCTGCATTTACAGTATGTTTAGTATGATGCGATTTACTATCTATATATGTGTGACTGGGGGTTGGCTAAAGTAGACAAATCAGTTCTGTGATTCCCATCCATAGATAAGAAAAAATAAAGTAGTGACTGCAAGTTGAAGAAAAATAATGGAGCAAAAGTACTAATACAGCTCTAAAAATGTACTCAAGGAAAAGTAAAAGTACACATTTTAAAACTACTAAGTGAATGACAATTCCTGCATAAAACACTCAATTACAGTAATTTGAATATTTGTAATTTATTAATTTAAAACCCCTGCTTGTAGGCTGCTTAGCACAGCCATATCACAACTACATGTTTCTTTTTCCAGACCCTGACTGGCAGGTGCTCGTGACAGTTGTTCTGTGCACAAGCAGCTCTTCTGTGACCATGGGGGAGAAAGAAGCGTGCTTATTTTCACCTGTTGCTCCTGCAGGGACCTGGATTAAACATTTGTTGTCCACTCACTTTACACCTAAACACTCACTGGAGGAAGGAGCCCAAAGTGACCACTGGTCATCTCACCCATTTTGCACCAGAAAAAGACTTGTGGTGGCCCTTCTGCTCATTTTGGCCTTGGTTGTCATGACGCTGCTTCTGCTGCTGAATTATTATTGTATTATGGTCTGGCACCTGTGTCAACAGGAGGAGCCTTATCCCCCAATATTTGGCACGACGCCAAATCTGGAACAGCAGGACTGAGATGCTACATGTTTGATTGTTTGTGTTCTAGTGTTCAGTGCGTCCATCTGGGATGCATGCTGCTGTGTTTTTGGTTTGATGAACTGAAATAACACTGAACATGTTCAGTACATATTTGTGATTTATTAAGGAAATCATTTACACTGTCAAGTTACTCAGTTCCTGAGGTTTTAGTTTTGTATTTATTTACTGATTTATTTACTGTAGGTTTGCCATTGACAATTATGCCTATTTAAGTTTTCTCTATTTGTCCTATTTAACATTGTTAATCTTTATCTAGTGGTGCTAGTTAAATGTAGCTAAACACTGTTCATAAAACAGTTCTTGTTAAAGCTTCGAGAATCTTTAAACCTCTTTTCAGAAATGTTTTCAATATCATCTGCAGGTTTATACAAACATAAACAGATCCATGCTTTTTACAGATCACGCTGTATTGTATATACAAAAAACAATGTACAACTTGATGACTTCACGTTAACCTTTGGCATACTTTTGACTACTTAATAAACAACTTCACCTTTGGCACACTTCTGACGGCTGGTTCACATTGTTTTAGTTTGTTTTGGTCATAGAATATGCATTACTGCTCATGCGCAGTCATTCAAAATGTAGATGATCTCACACAAATCTATTCCCAAAAATCCTCCCTTTTCAACACTGAACAGGAAATCACACACAGAGAAGTGCTTTGTAGATACAAAGTAGGCCTGCTAATGCAAAGTGCCTCTGCTCTTGGCAGGAATGATCTCATTCAAAGCAAGCAGTCTGTGTCAGCTGTTCAGCAAAGGACATCAAATGAAAAGAGACCTGTTAAATAAAACCGGTCTCCATCACAGTATAGCTCTTTGCACAAGAATGACTCAAGACCCCAGGTTTTAATTAGTTGCACCAGTGGACACACCTGCAGAATCTGCATTTTGAACAGATGATGGAAGAACATTCAGGAATGTTTGGAATACTCCCCCCACACCCTTCTTTAAACAAAATATATAATTACAGCAGGACATGTTGTGCTCTTTGATATGCTAAACAGTTTTTGTTTTGCTTTATTTAAAGTACTTGTAAAGTGGTTCAAAACTAATGTGTCAGAAAACAATTTTTAGAGTATTTTAAAACTATATATTATAAATAACTGTCTTTATTAAGGTATAATACTGAATAATGTTCAGCAAATCTATGTGATTTCTAATTAACAATGCCGTGTACACCAATTTATTTTTTGTTTCTATTTATAATAATTTTTTAGGGGGGCAACACGGTGGCTTAGTGGTTAGCACTGTCGCCTCACAGCAAGAAGGTCGCTGGTTTGAGCCCCGGCTGGGACAGTTTCCATTTCTGTGTGGAGTTTGCATGTTCTCCCCGTGTTTTCAATTCAATTCAGCTTTATTTGTATAGCGCTTTTACAATGTAGATTGTGTCAAAGCAGCTTCACATAAATGATCATAGTAACTGGAACAGGGTAGCTCACTTTTTAGTGTTTAAGTTCAGTTCAGTTTAGCTCAGTTCAGTGTGATTTCAAATCATTACTGAGAGTTCAAACACTGAAGAGCAAATTCATTGATGCGTAGCTCTACCAATCCTGAACCATGCGAGCCAGTGGCGACAGCGGAGAGGGAAAAAAACTTCACAGAGTGAAGAAAAAAACCCTTGAGAGAACCAGACTCAGTTGGGCACGACCATTTTAATTTCTCCGCTGGCCAAAAGTCATGTGCAGAGCTTCATGTAGTGTTCATCCCGTGTTCATGTAGTTTTCCTCCAGATGCTTTGGTTTCCCCCACAGCCCAAAGACATGCGCGATAGGTGAATTGGATGAGCTAAATTGTCCATAGTGTATGAGTGTGTGTGTGTGAATAAGTGTGTATGGGTGTTTCCTAGTACTGGGTTGCCACTGGAACGGCATCCACTGCTTAAAATGGAATAGTTGGTGGTTCATTCCACTGTGGTGACCTCTAAAATAGAGACTAAGCCAAAGGAAAATGGATTGAAAATGATATTTTGGAATATCCTTGTTGTGTAATCACACCCTCAATTTTCTTGTGATAAAGAATAACTATGACTGCTTCACTGAACACACGCCCATATTACTGCATAACAAGATACCTAATCAATAATAACCATCAAAACTCTACATATCAAAAAGCATGCCACACCCCTCTCCCATCGAACAAAGTCACTCATGCTAACAGATAAGCAGATGAGTATGTGCGATAAGAGATGGAAATGATAGCGTATGAGAACAATTTCAGTCTCTGTTATTAATTGTGCGTCCTCAGTTAAGGCATGTTATCGTTGGTACACTGTGTACGGTTGTAGCAATACCATTAATTAATCTTACAATACTATACCAGCTGAAGTATCATGATACCAAGTAGTATTGTGATGCAGTAATTTATAACTTAAGTTTTAAAGAAAATGATCAGAAATACTGTATTTTATGTTATAATAGGCCTACTTGAATGTAATTCATAAATTTCTTAAGGCCAAAAAGTATTATTTGCACCTCACTGTACCTAACATTTATTCATGCTTTTTGTTTATTTTGTAGATAACTGACCAACAAAAAAAATACATTAAAATAAAAATACAAATTATACCAAATTAAATTTGATACAGAAGAGCA